GAGGATATAATAATTATATCCATTTAGCACAAAAAAATGCTAAATATAAATGCTAAGGAGTCTTTATAAGATCATATGCTCTTCCACCTTTGATTTAAATAAATAACTCATGTTTAGTTATATAACTCACTTGAGATAGCACATCTAGCTACTTTGGTCAAAGTTAGAACTAGAAACCAGCTCTTCCTAATCCTTTCCTGATTCCTCACAAACCTTTATGCACTAAGAAAGATAAAATTTACAAGATACTCACAATGGACCCAAATCAGAATAAAGAATAAAGAATAGTTGCTAGTCTTAAGTTAGACAACCAAAACTTTGAGTCAAATATAAGTCCCTGCCCTAGATTTCAGATATTTGCTTACTGATAAAGATCAGACTTTTCTTTTTCTTAGCATTTTTCAAGTTTAATAATTAGGTTCTTTGGCAATGTCTGAATTACAGATAGCTACTTTGTTTTATCCAGATGTTTATTTTATTAAATATTTACAAGATTTTTTACTGGCCATTGCTATTTTAAATGTATTATTATTGTTCTTGTTGTTAAGTGCCATCAGGTCAATTCCAACTCATGGCAACCTTGTATAGGATTTCCAAAGAGCAATTGGTAGGTTTGAACTGCCGACCTTGTGGTCTGAAGTCCATTGCTGATCCTACAGCGCCACCCCAGGAATTCCCATTTCTGAGGCACATACACTTGAAATGGCTTGACGGAAAGAAACTAAGCTATTCTGTGGAAATGTTTTCAAAGGATAGTTCCTACCAAAAAATTCTAATTGAACACTTGCTTCTTTACTTTCCAGGGCTCAAAAGAAAACAACTTCTGTTTCCTTAACTATTGGATCATCATCTCCAAAGACAGGAGTGACCACAGCTGTGATTCAGCCCTTATCTGTTCCTGTTCAGCAGGTATGTGTGCCTTGAACAGTACACCACTGTGATTCAAACTCATCAACAATTTAGACAATATATCTTTACTTCTAACTAGTACATTCTCTTCAAATATTTTCCAAGTGGAAAAAGAACTGACAGAAAAAAATGGTAGGTAAATGTCTCTCTTTTAATCAACTAAAAAAAATCTTTATATACCACCAGTGAGTTAACCTCTGCATTCCAATTGGGAACTTTTTCTAACAGCCAATATCCTCAGAAGATGGTATCTGTTTTAGTTATGACTGTCTGATGATTCCCCCATCTTAATACTCCCTTCCATTTACCTAAATTCACTAGCTCATTTTAAAATAAATTAAGACAGGAAAAACCCACATACCAACATCTGTTAAGGATTCATCAGATGATAAGTGAGAGAAAAAAAAGTCAAATTCCTTGATTCCTCCATGCATTTTTTTCTCGCCTTTAGTTGGATTTCTCTTTAAGATCTCTTTAAGAAAGACCAATACTACAAACTGAACTACTAAGAAATAATTATACTGAGTTTACTTTGAGAACAACAGGAAGTTAAAAAAAATGAAAGTAACAAATATTATTTCCTAAATCAATTAATTCTATGTGACTTTGCCTTAATGTAATGGCAAATATCTTTATACATGCCCCGCCACACACTCACTACTGAGTTGTAAACTCCTTCCCAACTAATGAGTATGATCATAACCATGCCCTCTGTCTGCCATCTATCTCCCAGGGCTGTCTTGAGGACTCAGTAAGGCATCACCAAGCAAGTGCTGTTGGCTATAATCTTTAGATATAAATAACCCACCTAACCCACTGAGTCAGTTCTGACTCATAGTGACCCTATATAGAGTTTCTGAGATTGTAACTCTTTGTGGGAGCAGACAAACTCATCTTTCTCCCACAGAACAGCTGGTGGGTTTAACCTGTCAACCTTGTGATTAGTAGGCCAACAGCATCACCAGGGTTCCTTTGGACATAAATACTGAAAATGAGAGCCAGACCTCCTGGACCACAGTCCAGTGAAAAATTTTATAGGGCTAATAGATAAGGTCCAGTACTGTGATGATGTCTTGACAACTCTGCCAAGATGAAGATGATGTTCCATTAAAGTAACAACAAAAGGATTTTGTTGTTTGCTTCCCTCAAGTTGGCCCCCAACTCATGACAACCCCAGGCACAATGGAAAGAGATGCTCCTTGGTCCTATGCCATTCCCATGATGGACTGAGGGTCAGACCATTGTGACCCACAAGGTTTTCATTAGATGAGTTTTGGATGTAGATAACCAGGGCTTTCTTCCTAGTCCATCTTAATCTAGAAACTCAGCTGAAACCTGTTCAACATCACAGCAACATGCAAGCTTCCATTGAAAAACAGGTAGTAGCTGCACATGCGTTGCATTAGCTGGGAACCCAACCCTAGTGTCCCACAAAAAAGATGAGAATTCTATCACTGGGCCATTACTGCCCAATGGATGGTACTTAGATCCATAATATCAGATGTCCATCATCTTGATATAAGAATAGTCACTTATATGAAAGTTAACAAATCCAGATTGTTTGAAAATAAATGATTGTACACAAACACATATTTTCCATTCACTAGTCTGAACTCCTTGTATTTCCCTAGAGATGAGTACTATTCAGTAAGTGTTTCAGTACTTTTGTTCTTTGAACATCTAGAAAAAAAGCATATATTTGCATTTATTCCTTGTAAGTCCTTATATAAAAGAGAATACCCATTAAAGTTAAGGTAGGTATAGATGTCAGTTAACTTACTTTAGCTTCCTCTGTCAATAACTTACACTTTATATACAATGAATCTAGATTGCATTTAAAAATAAAATATAATGTCTGTGAAAACGTTTAAAAAAGATCTCTATGGTAGTCCCACACACAGAAATACATTTGGTAATAGCATTTAAGAGCTCATGGATCCCTGAGGACCCAGGAAACTTTTACCTTGAATATCCTTTTGAATCGAGAGGAATAACAGATGTAAAATGAGGAAGTAGAACAATGTCTGTACTGTAAGCATAGAACAGCAAAATGATGTATGGCAATACTTCCATTCACTGGTTTCATTCAAGTGGAGTGATCTCAATAATGAAAGAGTGTTTTAGCCTATCTTTGCAGCAATTTATATATTTAGAATTTGATCCATGTGTCTCTGCTGTTTCAGGTTCACAGCCCAACTTCATATCTCTGCCGACCTGATGAAACCACTCCTGCCTGCCTCCCTCCAGTTTTTACAAAGGTCTGACATCTGCAAGTCTCATTCTCTGGGTTTGCTTTGGTCCTTAAATTTAATTCACAAGTGGCTTAGTGAGACCATTTTTTAAAAAATAAAATGAACCGAATAGTAGCCTTATTATCATGGTCACCTTAGTTGTATGCCTATAACTTCTTGAAGGGCCCAAGTGGCCAATAGACTGAAAGAATTTTAAACAGAGTGGGAAAACAAAAATGGGTAGAAAACAGTATTATCAGAATGCTGGGTAAGAAATTTGTTTGGAGACACAGAAAATTCTATAGAAATTTTTTTTTTTCATTGACTAAAAGGAGCTCTCTCTGGTAGCATAGTAGTTACGAATCGGGCTGCAGGCTGCAAGGGCTGCAGTTCAAAACTACCAGCTGTTCTGAAGGAGAAAGAGGAGGCTTTCTGCTCCCATAAAGATTTACAGCTTCAGAAACTCTGTACAGGGTCACTATGAGTCGGAACCGACTCCACGGCACATGACAACAACAACAATATTCTATTTGCCCTAAGTGGGTATATGCATTGCCATGTTGAATGATACCCATTTCACTGGTTAAACCTCCAACTCAGAAATGGTTCCATGTAACCCTTCTCTGACTCGTTGAGACCATTGTAAAACCTTATTGAACAATATTTTAAAAAGACTCAACTGAGTGGAGAGGTTAACTCTCTTGTGGACTAGGATTTTTTAAAGAAGTCAGCATTTCCCAAAATCAACCATCAATTCCATGTAAATCTAGTCAAAATTCCAGCAGATAACTTGTCTTTACTTATTTGTTTGATATCAAATTAAAAGTTTTGTGGTAGAACAAATGGCTAATAAAACATTTTTCTAACAGTGCAATTATTAAGAAAGATACAAGCATAAGATAAGACAGATTGGCAAGTAAATCAAAATAGAGCCTAGAATGATGCTCTCACACCGACGTGGAAGCACTGCTATTGCAGATCAGTGAAGAAAAGACGAATTCTTCAGCTAAACTGCACCTCACACTTTGACAGAAATCAGTTCCAAGACTCAAGGCAAATGTGAAAAGCAAACACATACATAAGACATTTGAAAGACAATAGAGAAGATCACTTCAAATAATGATTTTTATTTTCTACTAAGCCAAATTTTACCCACCTTTATTAAAGAATTTTTCATAAACAGGTTATTTCTGGGAAGATATAGGCAACAAATGATAATAGTGGACAACTTTGAAACTGAATGAATGCATGCAAATAAAATTAAAAGGCATATAAAATCCTACTCCAATGAGACCTAGGGACTTCTGAGCCCATGGACAAGGAAATAGCCATGAAGGGCTATAGCTGAGAGTGAAGCATCCAGCTGATATGAAGTGAGGGGAGACACACAAGAACGCCCAAACTTGCAGATAGTACCCATTTGACCTAGCCTCAATGGTTTGATGATCAGAACTCGACTAGAGGAAGATAAAAAATAAAAATAAAAATAAAAATTGATAACGGCAACAAGTGGCAATTGCTACAATTTGATGAACTTGACCTATACTTGTGGATGTAGTAGCTCAAAATACCAACAGAGAGGGAAGGAGTCTTCACATCAAGTGTCAATACTATCCTCTCTGTATACAGGGCAGTTAGGGATGGGTAATTTGGACACTGGCTACCTAAAATGAGGGGGCGATAAAGGTACAAAGTGATTGGCTTAAAATTTTTCAAGAGGGAGCTTAGTTTCAGAGTGTGCAGGGGAAGGTAGAATCCCCACTGAATAGTTTTCATCTTATCTAGATAGATCTGGTGAAAATAGATGGGGAAATGATTCTTATGATTCAATAGTGGTTAATTGTTTCATGACTAATTGTGACTGCCATAACTGTAAATGTAGAAAGTTTGTAACAAAAATGGGAGAGTAGTTACAGTCCAGAAACATAGGACCCTAGGACCATCAAGGGAGAAGAGCACTAGTGGAATGTGGGACCCTATCCAGAGAAACAGCGACACCAGAGATGGAGGCAGAGATGAGGACATGGAGAAGAGGGAGCAGCTGAGGACTCTAGACTCATGAAAAGAGAGGGACTGAGTGCTAGTGGCCAGCAGAAAGACTGAGGAGGCAGGCTTGCAGAATGTGCCCTTTGGTTGTTTAAATTATTATATATTCCTGAGTGTTTTTGTGTACATCCCCCCCAAAAAAGAAAAAAACACAGAGGGAATAGAAGCAAATACTGTTGAATGATGATGTATGGAGGAGATTGTAATCATTGCAATGAAAGGATGGTTTAAAATTGATGTTCTCCCATGTAAACTCACTCAATTCACAATAAAAACTTAAAAAAAAAAAAAAAATCCTACCCCAAACCACAACTCACTATGATAGTTATTGAAGCCTTCCTTTGATGCTTTCAAGAGGAAACATTTACAGAGAGGATGGAACCTTCTATTTAATTTGTAGTTTAACAGCTTTTCATAGGTACCTTTGTAATGTTAACTCCTGAACCCCTGTGTTACGGTGATGTATTTTACTCAACATCGTTGATTTGGGCAATGCTAGAGCCTTTTGGTTTAAGGATATAAAGCATCAGGGAAGGAGAAAAGGACAGAGCTTCTTGTTTTCCTCACTACGGGGCCTCTCTGCCACATACAGACTGTGTATGTGTGGATGTTAGGAAATTCTATCTGGGCATCTAGATGAATCTTCTAAAGCTAGTCCTGAGACACACATTCTACTCATGATGTTTCTCCCTTTCCCAAAATACTACTAGGAATAATTTCTGTATTTTTACAATATAGCTTAACAAGAAAGAAAAGTAAAATAAAGTTCTGCATTTTTATTTCATTTTATAGAAACAATTCCAAGATGTATTCATGAGAAGCACAGAGCACATTCACTGGTCTTCCCCAGCACCCTCTGCCTTTCATCTCTCAACTGGATTATGGTGGTTAGGATGCTTCTGTGGTCAGGAGATACCAACAAACACAAACACGCACACTGTGTGGCACTTCTTCGCAAATAGTTAGACCCCTCAAGCAACCATAATGTCAGGTGGATTTGAAGAATGAAAGTGATGCCCTTATATTCAGCCTACAACACTCAAGGATCCCAGATCCTACCCACAGTAGACAATCCTCTAAATGTTGGCTCTGGGTCTTCTTCAGCCTCTTCATAATGTCCTTGTGGGTTCTTCTAATAGCTTACTATGTTTAGCTATGGCTTTTGCCAAGAAAAACATGTTTGCTCTAGAAGAAGCCAAATTGTAATCCTGGAATAACTATGAAGATTTGACTGCTTAAGTTCCTCAGCCTCTACTGACTTTCCAACATTGAACAAAATACATGATCCCAGGAATAAATCAAGGTATATTTTGGTGCCTGATAGCTCAAGCGTGAAAAGTATTTGTGCACCACTTGCAGTCTATAGTGAATGGCTTCCTGGATAAGCCTGGAGGAATCAAAAAAAAAAAACTGGACACCATGAGTCACACTGACCCTGCTGGTTTTTATCCAGTAAATTAGCTCTTCTCTAGACCCAATCACACACACACAAAATAGGGAATTAGAACTAGAGTTTTTCTACATTAAAAAAAAAAGAAGGGGAAAGAATGCATTTGCATCAGAAGTAGTTAATAATCTTAACTTTTTCACATAAAAAAAGAAAACATTCTTGAAATATCAAATTTCTTATCAAATGCCTTCCCAAACTTCATACTAACATCCTGCCAAGATCACAGACTTGGGATTGATTGTTCAGGGCTTTTTGGTGTTTTTTTAAAGACACAATTTGTCCCCTTGTTGTTAAAATACAAATAAATAAAAACATTTCATGTGAGTTAGTTTTATTTTATTTTGTTCTCTGGACAGGTGAATAGCTTTATCATGCTTGACTTATATTAAGACTTTCAATGCCTTGTATGAGATCCGATATGCCATAGTCAGAAGTTTAGCAGTCAAAAAGTTTAAGTAGGCCCCACTGCTAGTTAATCCTTAGCAGAAAGAGGGAGAATCTATTCCAGGGAGCTATTTTTAATAATCTGATAGTTAATAACAAGTTTTAAAACTCAACCTCTTTGCATCTATAAAACCAAAATAATTTCTAATCCATTGGGTTGCAAAAATGTATTAGTCTGAAGTTGATGGAGTCAGGTGGGAGGCAACGAGCAAGCAGGAAAGAAATGAAGGTCAATAGGGAAATATGCAGCCTGCTTTATTATTTTACCCAGAACCTCAAAATAACAGAACATTGAAAGCCCTCAGCTTCATAAACCTGGCGTAGCTTAATAAACATAGGCAGAGGTGCTGTGGGAGTATTTGAAAAGGTTGGAACATGTGAAACAAATGCATGTCGTTTTTCTTTACTTATCTAGTTCTTCATAGGAATCTACATTCATTTGGGATGTAACTGTGTTAAGAAGCAGTTTGCATTCCACCCAGCTTATTTTTAAATGTAGCTCTGGTAGCGTAGTGGTTACGAATCGGGCTGCGAACCTCAGGGTCATCAGTTCAAAACTACCGGCTGTTCCGTGAGAGAAAGATGAGGCTTTCTACTCCCATAAGCCTCAGAAACCCTGTACAGGGTCGCTATGAGTTGGAACTGACTCCACGGCACATCACAATAACAACAACAAAGGTACTTGCTGTTACTGTAGAATTTCACAAATGTGAAAGGGTCGCTGCAGATTTAGAGGCAAGACAAAAAATCTGTTCAGGGCTTATGGTAAGTCTTACTAATTACATGGAGAATTAAAAAAAAACTGATAAAAATAGTAATGATAAAAATAATACAAGTAGATGATCAATGAATTTAAAGGTGCGGGTTCACAGATCAAACCCACCAACAGCTTCTTGAAAATCCTATACAAGGTTGCTGTGAGTCAGAACTGACTCAATGGCACTTAACAATAACAACAGCCTTATCGGAGTTGTTGTTAAAGTGCTGTCGAGTCGGTTCTGACTCATAGCAACCCTGTATAGAGTTTCCAAGAAGTGGCTGGTGAATTTGAACAACCAACCTTGTGATGTACACCTACCTTTCTAATGTGAGGTAGTGGTAATTATTTTATGATGCAAGTTTTGCTCTTTCTCTGTAAAGTTTAGAATGTTTATTCTGTTTTGTACAATTGCTTAAGAAGGCACAGAAGTCTGACTGGGAATATTTTCCTTAAATTTCAGGAACTGCAAAACACAGCAGCATCAGAAGGCCAGGTGGTGGTTTTGGAGTGCCGGGTACGAGGAGCACTTCCTTTACAGGTCAAATGGTACCGGCAAGGCAGTGAAATCCAAGACTCTCCAGATTTCCGGATTCTACAGAAAAGTAAGAAGCGATGCTCACTCTCCAAGTCTCACCATTTTATAGTCTCTCTTCAGGAAAGCCAAGAAGAACTAAGTCATTCATATGAATTGATTTGTATTCTTAAAGAGTGGTGAGGTCAGATGTCCTGCAACTCCATGGGGTACAGTAATTAAAACAGTGGCACTTGCTTTTGAACCTCTTTGAAACTCCAATGAAAGTTCTGTAATTTTCTCCAGAAAAATACACATGCATGCTTCTACTCAGGTTGGCAAATAATCTTAGGAAACTCACAACTTTCCTGTAACCCATCCATGAGCTGCAGTTGAAAAAATGTATTTGTTTATGGTGTTATTAGAATGTAAATAGCTGTCCCAGAACTGCAAACCACAAGGTCAGCAGTTCAAACCCACCAACAGCTCCTTGGAAACCCTATACAGGGTCAATATGAGTCGGAACAGATTCAATGGACCCTGACAACAAACAAGAACGAGGAGTCCCTGGGTGGAGCTGATGGTTAAGTACTCAGTTACTAACCTAAAGATTGGTAGTTGAAACCCACCAAGAGACACCTCAAATAAAAACCGTGGAGATCTGCTTCCCAAAGGTCACAGCTTTGAAAACTCTATGGTGCAGTTCTACTTTGCTTTCATGGGGTCACCATTTTTGTTGTTAAGTGTTATTGTGTCGTTTGACTCATAGTGGCTCTGGATAGGATTTCTGAGGCGGGATAGTTGGAATCAACTCAACAACAACTGTGTTTTGTTTTACAGTTGTTGTTTAGTATCACCTTATCTACCTCTCTTGTATTATTGTTGTTGTTGTTGTTAAGTGCCGTCGAGTCAGTTCCGACCCATAGCGACCCTGTACAGGGTTTCCGAGGGTGTAAATCCTTACGGGAGTAGAAAGCCTCATCTTTCTCCCGCGGAGCGGCTGGTAGTTTTGAACCACTGACCTTAAGGTTCGCAGCCCGATTTGTAACCACTACGCTACCAGAGCTCCTTGTATTATAGGGTTTGTCTATAACATTTTTGCAGATATTTCCCTGGTAAGATAATAGATAAACACAGGTAGGTTTATTATTAGTGTAACCCCACTCTAATGTTCTGTTTTATTTTTTTCATGTGACAAACAGAACCTAGATCTACTGCTGAACCTGGTAAGTATCTTTTCTTTCATTTTTTTGTAATGTATCTTTTGGGTTTCAATCGCTCTTTGTTTCTGTTTTAAAGCCATAAGCAGAACAATGTTTTTGCAGTTCCCTGGAAATGTGAAACCCCCTTAAAGACAGTATCTTCTTTTTCATGGGGTCCGTACACTGCTTTTTACATCAACTCCTTTATTAGTAAAACATTAAGTTCCATTCAGACAAGAAGGTCAAGCTCAGTGGCTTATGCCTTTATAAAGTATTTTACTCAGAAAGGAAACTAACCTAATGATGAAAAAGCATCTTCCAAAATTGCAGTAGAAAAGAAAATTGCATATTTCTACATACCAAAACCCACTAACAGTGAGACTCCCAGCTTAGAAATGCATCTCAAATGAGACCAGCCCAAAGATGTAAGCAGAATTGAAACCCAGTCATTTTGCATTTATGCCCTGAGCCATAAACTTTTACTATGTTATAAGCATGAAGAAAGTCATCTTGTCCTAGGTTCTCTCTTAATTACCAGGTCATTTGACCTCATCCAAGTGCTATGTTATTCAGAGGCACAGGGATCCAACTGTGCTCCTGCCTCAGACTTCTTCCATATTTATTACTCCTCTTGGACCACCGTGATGTTCCCAAAGAAAGCAAGAATTCTAGGCATTTCATAGTATGTCTTCCTTGAGACAATCTTCTTTTGTATCATTCTCATTAGCAAAGCCACCGGTTTCATTTATTTCTTGCCAAAAGGGTAGAAAAATAATTCATGCTCATGTTTCTGCTGTCTGTGCCTCTATTTCAGCATTAAGCAGATCCTGCCAAAAGCCCTGTAGGAGCCCTGACTTTCCTCTGTCCCTTCTTTGGGTACTTGGAGATGCTCTGTGGATGGTTGCAGGTCAGATTAACTGCAGTCAGTTCCTGAATCTCACATCTGAATGCTGAGTCTTTAAAAACAGATTGTGATCCTATTAGCATCCAGAGTTTAAGGGATGCTGAGTAGAATCCTTAGGGAACACTGAGGCTTTCTTGTCATGAGTTACAACTAGAGCATGTCACCCCACTTAATGTGTTAGTCACCACATCAAACACTGTAGCCACTTTCCAGACTGTGGAAACACAGAGCTTCATATTTCATCTGTGACACATCTTTGCATAAAATTGCATAATGCTAGTTCCCTATACAGGCATCTTCTGAGACAGAATCTACTGCATGATCTAATATACAAATCCAGAAGAGAATTAGGATACATTTTTTTTCATGTCTTATTTTAAGTAGACTTATGTGGATCAATGTGCCAGACTGCAAAGCTGTTTGAACTGCAAGGTCATCAGTTCAAGCTCTCCAGCTGCTCCTCAGAAACCCTATACAGAATTGCTATGAGTCGGAACTGACTCCATGGCACTTAACAACAACTTAACAACAATAGGTTGGTGGAGTCCCTGAGTAAAGCAAGCAGTTAAGCTCTCAGCTACTAACTGAAAAACTGTTAGTTCAAATCCATACAGGAGTGCCTCAGAAGAAGGGCCTGGTGATCTACTTCCAAAAGATCATAGCCATTTATAAACTCTATGAAGTTCAGTTCTAGCTTGACACACATGAATTCACCCTGAGTCAGAATCAGCTCAGCAACAACTTGTATGGATTGGTAGATATGCAAGTAGAAGCCAACTACCTCTTTTATCAGCAGAAATGCTTTTATTCTGTGAAAAGAAATCTATAAAGCAATATATGTCTTTTGATGCTTTTTATACAAATAAAATGAAAACCTTGGGCCAAAAATTCTAAAGGCATTGCTACTGGAATGGATTAAGTTTGCTTTTGACGTTTCATTTTGGATTCTGAGCAAATTCATGTGCCTCTTTTTTCATCATATTGTTATCTACTGTCATCATCTACGTAGGTGATGATGATTTATTAAATGTCTTCCATGATTTTGGTTGGAAAATCATAAATCAGCCATCATGAGAAAATTCAAAACATTACTCAAAAGCTGCATAGTTTGGTTTTCAGGATGTGCATGTTTGAAAATTGAAAACACTCAGAATTCTGACTAAGGAGGAATAAATTTGGGTGAAGCAGAGAAAAAGAGCACAATCCACTTGCTTTGACCCCCCTCACCTTTTACCTTATGCCGTAGGTACCCCTCAGGTTTCATTTATGGTTTTCTGTTTTGTTTCTAGAATACAGTTTTGATAATGGTCATGTTGATATGATTAGCCCTATAGTTTCACAGAATATCCTGATCTCTAGAATTTGCTTACGGAGCCTTAGTGGCACAACAGTTAAGCACATGGCTGCTTTGTTGTTGCTAAGTGCTGTTGAGTCAGTTCCAACTCATAGTGACCCTGTATAGGGTTTCTGAGGAGTGGCTGGTGAGCTTGAACCACTGGCCTTAGCCACACCAGGACTCAACTAAAATATTAGCAACCAAAAAATTAGCAGTTTGAACCTACCCAGCAGCAGCATGGGGAAAAGGTCTGGTGATCTGCCTCAGTAAAGATAATAACATAGTAAACCCTATGGGGGTAGTTCTACTGGGTAACCTGGAGTGAGTCAAAATTGATTCTATAGCACCTAGCAACAGGCAACAACAGAAGATGCTTCAATGCCGTTTTGGTTAAGGTGCCAAATTCATCATAAAAATAGCAAGATATCAAAGACCTTCTTTTTAAATCATAAATCCAACCAATGTATAAAAAAGGTTCTTTCTTTCTTGGCTGAATTTTCCTATTTTTATTTTCCCCTTAAGTTAGATCTGAAAGCATTTAACAAAACAGATGCCTCCATTCCAGGCACAGTAATAACATTTGCTGAAAACAAAGATTTCTTGGCAGAAAAAAAGATTTCAAGTAAATCTGTCCATACAAGAAAAAAGAAACGAAAAGGAAAATACACATATAGTAAGGAGGTCTTAAAAACAAAACATAACTAGTTTTCCCTGACCTCTGATCATGTTTCGACCATTATATTTACCAAGACAATACTAGAATTCCTTCTTTATTTTTGACAGTGAAGGATTAAAATGCTCTGCTTCAGGAAACCTACATTTGGCATGAAGAATTAAATAAAATCCACGATCATATTTTTAAAACAAAAATACTTTCAAACACATGAATGACTCTTTAAGTGACTGCTTATGTGAGTTGTTCTGTATGAACTTCAGAACAAAGTAAATGTAAAAATATATTTATATTAAATAAAGTTTTGGCATGCCTGACAAAAATAGGTGTGATTCCTCTACTAGTAGTCAAACGTTTTCTTTACATTAACCTTGAAGTTGCTTTGTTTGTATGGGGGGTGGGGGGAGGCGGAGAGGAGAACAGGTGAATATCTTGAACTCCAGTTATTTTCCTTAAATGATCTGATTGACTTATATATGTCTATAGACTTATATCTAATGGACCATTTAACTGTATTTTTATTTGTTAGGGATTATCTGATGAATTCAACCATATAGAGTATATGCAGGGACTGGCTTCCCTCAGAGATGTTTCTTAGCCACTGTCAAGTGAAAAAGAGAAAAACAGACATGACCACAATACATCTGAGGCAAGAGATAAATTTTATAAGACTAGTTCAGTGATGTTTTCCAAATGCGAAAACATAAATAGCTTTTGAAATTCAGGAAAATATTTAAGCATCTAGATTTTATTACCCTCTCTTCCTACATTCTTCCCTTCTTAGGACTTCTCACTCTTGCTCTTTCTTTTCTAGTTAGCTAGTTAGCTGATGGCTGTCCCTCCTCTTTCCTGCACTCTCTCTTCCTCTTTACCTTTTTTCTCCTATTCCCACCCTCTCTCTCCTTTTCCCTTTTTTAAATCTCTTTTTTTTTTTTTTTTTTTGCCTTTTCTTCACCTTTCTTCCCTTGCTTATTCATGTGCAAGATGAGCTAAAACTCTAGAAAATAAAATTGAAACTCTCTAGTACCTAGATATAGCCCTTTTAGAGGTTAGATATTTAGATAAAGAAGGAAATAGCAGATTCCCTCCCAATGCATTCATGCAACTGAAACAGGTTTTTCTTGTCACTACTGTGCTGTATCTGTCTAATGTGTTTTACACTCCCTTCTCTGTCTAGACAGAAGTCAGCTTGCATCACAAATCTTTTCAGACTGTTTTGTGAATTAATAGCTAGTCAGCTCATTTAAGACCAACATCCGTTTGTCATATTACCTGCTCTGGGCTTCTTCTTTGACATTCAGACTTTACACTGATTGAATTCTTCAAAGACTAGTCACGGGGGAGGGGACGCACAGAAGACTCATTTGGCAGCTGTTAATGTTCAGTCTCTTACTCAGCTGTCTGGAAACAGCCACAAGCTGTATTAAGTTTCTTCTACAGTACTGTCTAATGGCATGTGTCTTAGTTATCTAGTGCTGCTATAACAGAAATACCACAGGTGAGTGGCTTTCACCAACAGAAATTTATTTTCTCACAGTTTGGAAGAACTGAAGTCCAAATTCAGGGTGTTAGCTCTAGGGGGAGAAGACTTTCTATCTTCAACGGCTTTGGAGGGAGGTCTTTGTCTCTTTTGAGCTTCTGCTCTTGTTGTTTTTGTTAAGTGCCTTTGAGTCGGTTCTGACTCATAGTGACCCTGTATAGGGTTTCTGAGGAGCAGCGGGTAAACTTGAACCACCTATCTTACAGTTCAAGCCGACCTTGCCATTCAACACATTAACCCCCAGTGCCACACCCGGACTCCTTTTGCTCTTGAGCAATCTTCATATGGCTTGTTATCTCTCCTCCCCATCTCTGCTACCTTGGTTAACCTCTTTTACATCTCAAAAGAGATTGACTCAACACATACCTTACACTAATCCTGACTCACTAACATAACAAAGACAAACCATTCCCAAATAGAATTATAACCACACATTTGTTGTTGTTATTATTAAGCACCTTTGAGGTTCATACTTATAGTGACCCTGTATAGGGTTGCCTAAGAGCAATTGGTGAGTTTGAACTGCTGACCTTGCAGTCCTGCACATTAACCCACAGCTTCACACCAGGAC